AGAGAGAGAGAGAGAGAGAGAGAGAGAGAGAGAAGAGAGATGAGAACAAATTTTTAAAGTGAATATTGAACAATAAAGTTTTTTCCCCTAGCAAAAGAACAAAAAAGCTTTCATTTTTGTCTATGCACCACACCACTAAACCTGGGATAGGAGACAGGACATGGCCTAGATTGGCAGAGAAGGGAGGTAGGGTGGGATTCCAGAATCCACACAGCACCACCCCTTAGGACCTCCTAAGTAAAGTTCTCGTTCCTCTGAAATATGGACGGCAAAAAATAACAGACACCATGAAGAACTCACATGCCTCTTCCCAATAACCCACGCTGTGTCCCCCAGGGTATACTTTTAGTATTTTTAACTTTTCTTCTCTTTTGTTTGGCCCAAGTTCACTCCGCAGAGCCAGTTTCTTTCTTACCCTCTACCTTCACTTTTCAAATAAACTTTGTCACCATTTTTGATTGTCTTGTTCAATTTTATGTTCAAGATGAGAAAGACCTAGAAACTATTTGCAAACCACTTCTAAAAGGAACTTCCCAATAACAAATCTTATTTATTCACTTTAATTCTACATTTACACAAAAATGCTACAATAAAAACTGTACACTACTTCTGCTACAAATATAGATATTTAAAGTGATTTTATATATTCTAATGTAGGAGTTTCACGCTCTAAAATGGGAATGAACACATGATAATTCTTCACCAGTTGTCTCAATAAACAATTCCATCTGTTTCTTTTAGTCTTAAACTATTGTATTACAAGACATTAATATAAAGCAATGAACTGAAGTTATGTTAATCCCCTTAATTTTCATACCAATTTACTAATGGCATAGAACCAAAATAATTACTGACATATTGCTATTTTCTTTGTCATTAAGATTAATAGTAATTGTAAACCAACTGCACTGTGCACTAAGAAATTTTCAGTGTTGGCACCAACTGTGAAAACCAACATTAAAAGGTTCTTGGAATGCATGTTCCTCCATGCTTAGTTTGGTTGCCTTAAAGGAAAACCACTGTCAAAATGGGATAGCATCATCATTTTACTATAGCGAAATGAAAATATTTTATAATGGTGAGAAAATGAACACTGAGAATGTGCATTAAGTATGATTCTACAATACCTAGAACACTATTTTGTATATTTGCTATTTACTTAATCACAGAAAACAATTTTAGCAGGAAAAATACGTGTGTATACTAAAGGTAGTGAGACGCATTTTTTATAATATTCAAAATATTAAAATATTGAGAATATTTATTAATATTTTCAATATTTTTAAAAGTTTGGTGTGGGGACAGATGAACTGCCAATTTGAAGGATTTTTATAAAACTCCACAAGATTTTTTTTCCTTATTATGCATTTTTATTTTTACCTGAATTTACTGAAACTATATCTCATGGTTAGATTTAGAATGACTTTTCTTTCTCCTTTAAGCATATTTCTTCCTCTTTAATAATTTTTGTTCATGTGACTACAAAACCTTAGGTATCCTCAAAAGAAAAACTGGATTTATCTGTAAAATGTTCGTCTGTGTGTTTAGATTCACAAAACGCAAAAGAAGAGGAAAAATGCTAGGAGGTTGCCAGTAAGAAAACCATTGCCATATAAGAAAAATAAATTTAAATATTATTTTTCCACTATGATTTTAAAGACTCCATGAACACAGGACAGGAATTGTCACATATAAAAGATCATCCCATTCTCCATGGTACTGAGGAAAGCAAGGGGTTGAGTTGGTTCAGTTCTGGCTGCCGATTCAGGACAGAACCATCAAAGTGACAGTACCCTTTGTTCGCTTAAGTATAGCAACAGCTTCTTCGTGGGTTACCCCTTCGAGACTCTGTCCGTTGACAGCAACGATCTGGTCACCCCTTTTTAGGCGCCCATCTTCTGCTGCTGCTCCCTGTAATTATAAGGGCTTGTTTACTTCTCAAAGAATGCAGTCTCACAACTACACCACAGACTAAAGGTCTAAACAAGAACGTAAGTTGCTCTGCATGGACACATGCGTGCTGCTCAGGTGCTCCGTAGTTACTCCACAGCCATTCAGCAGTGGTGAACACACACAAGAGGCCTGTTCCCTAATGGTTTTAGCACTGAGATCTCAATTTGGGAAAAAAGCTAGTAGTCAATAGATTAGTTTGATGGTTTTTTTCTGGCTGTGCAGCACAGCAGTTGGTTGAAACTCAAATTAATAAAGAATATATGAAAATTTGCCTAGTATGAATGATTTCATAGAATCCAGGATTTTATATCCTATAAATAAGACTAAAGATTAAATAAAACAAAAGCAGTTTCCCAGGCTAAGGGCATGAGGACTTTAAATCCCAAAGGTCTGCAGAAGCATAAAGAAAACATGAAGGTCGACTGGTTTCAAAACCCACTGCTGGGGCTGGCCAGCATACATACGGTGCTTGATCCTACATCCAGCAGTACAACACACATATGCACTTGCACACGAACACACACACACACATGCACGCACGCACACACAGATAATACTGGGCTTTGAAAAGGGCTAGTTAAGCTGCCTTGATTCTTACTTACAAAGGGTACATGGTCTTCATATTCCTATGCCTAACTGATTAGAATTAAAAACAGACATTGAAAAAGAACCCTGCCTTTAGAAGGCAATTATGCAATAAATATAAGATTAAAAATATGGCAAAGTTAATGAGGAATCCATAATGATGAAATTCTTAAAATATGTTTTAACTAGCATGCCTTAAATAAATTGTTCCTAGGCTGAGGAACAGGACTGCAAGATCCTTTATTCGCTGGCAAATGCCACTTATATTTTTGAACATATATTTTTTAAAATGACATAAATTAAGCCTACAGTTGGCTTGCTGTAGGTATAGCACTTAAAAATGCTTAAAAATAGTAATATTTTCCAAATTAATAGAATGAAACTTCCAAAAATTCAAGGATGATGGCACTAATGTAAAGCCTCTGCATCAAACCTTTAAATAGGTTTGCCATAAATTTTGCTCCTTTCCGCTGTAAAATTTTGAGACTAGATTTTCTCCTGCGGGAAATTTTGTACTTTTGAAAATGTGTATTAGTAACATAATAGCAATCATAACATAGATCATTTTGTTTTAAAAGTTTCATCCATGTTCCAGTATCTTTTTTCCTGGTCTAAATGTTCTTACTATATAACTATATACAAATATTTTTCTTTTCTAAAAATATCAAATCTTTGATTATAAATAACTGATCTGCTGTGGGAACAGGGCTGTGGGATACTCTTCAGGTTTTTCTTTAGTAGCTTTTGTTTTACTCAATTAAATTAAACTTCTATAACAAATGCTCTATTGGTTAATTTGCATATAATTTTATGTGCTTCTCTGTACCTGTTTTACATTTCACAAGAAAATGCAAAGAAAACAAAATGTTAGTGCTTTACAGCTTATTTATTTTAAAAGTATATTTATTTTCAAAAGACAATCATGCAACTTGTTTTCAAAGGAAAAAATAAGCTTTACTAGCAAGTTTATTAAATTATGAATACTATTTCAAGTGTCTATAGAGTTTCATTTTGGGACTATTTCCCTTTAAATACAAATAAAGTTCAAATTATACAAAAAAGTTTAATGACCTGGCCCTGTAGGGAGTTTACAAAAAAAAAAAAAATTATCAACTGCTAACCATTTGGCATTACCTCAGGCCATAAACTAATAAGCCAGCTGCTGATCACGGTTAATGACTGTTTACTAGGGAAGAGAAAGGTTAGAATTTGCAGTCTTACCTTTGCGAATACTGTTTTAACATAAATGGGTAAGTCTCCATGAGGGCTGCCATACCCTCCTACTATACTGAAGCCCAAACCATCTGGCCCCCGGTCTAGCATAATTGACTTACACTGAGGAGGTCTACGGAAAAGGAAGGAAAAAAAGAGTTCCGGAGTCAGAACAATACATTTATTATTTTCACACACACACACACACATACACACACACACACACAGGTTATTAACATTATTTTTTTTCTTTTTATTTTCTTGAGTTTATTGGTACATTTTAGGTATACAGTACAGTTAAATTCATTATTGAGATCTTGTACCTTTACATAACAGATCTTGGTTCTCATTTTTTCCCCTTGTCCCTGACCTCCCTTCACCCCCTCTTCCCCTCCCCGTTTACAAACACTTTATTTCCATTTTTTCATTTTCTTACATTTTTTTCTTTTACCTTATTACCTTTCCCCTGCCCTTCCCACTTTCCCTACACCTTTAGCCCTTTTATTCCCATTTCACAATTTCAGTTATCTCATATATATTTTAATTATATATCTTAATATGTTTAGAATCCATAATTCATCTGACATCTACAAAAAGCTAGCATACACTTTGAGTTACTGACAGGGAGGATATCTGTTGAGGATATCTGAGGACACTTAAATTGTCAGTTCATGCTATGTACAGTATTTGAAATTTACAGAATCTAATGAAATTCTACTTAATTTTCTAATTCTATGACTCATTTACAGTTGCTTTAAACTAACATGCTCACAGAATGTTTTCATGGCACAGAGAAACTCATTCTTTTTTCAGTTTAATTAAAATGAGAAGGCTAAATTCAAGGGACTATAATGGGTAAGTGGTAAACATCAGTACTCTCAAAGATCAGAGAAAAGAGTCAATTACAAGCAATGTAAACACTGAATCAAATTATTTACACATTCTAAATGTCCCCTTCCTTCTTGCTATTTCCCAGTGTTCTTTTTATTCAGTTGATCTAATACAGTGAATTATTTTTCAAGCAAAAGGATAGTTGAAATGAGTAGACAATGATGGGAAATTTTCAGATATGTCTGACTTGCTCCATGTTACAAAGGGTGGTGATATTATGGCTAAAATGCTGTCCCAACATGGCAAAAGTAGTGGTAAACAGGCCTAGCTATCTAATCTTATCTATCTCCTCCCAAATAAGAGTTAGCTGGAAAACTAATTCCAGCATGATTTTAGAAGAGACATTTCCTGCAAATGAGCCTGATGTGATTTCTAAAATCATGTTACATGTATTTTCCAGGGGTTCTTATTTTCAGAGAAATAGGGTATCTACCTGTCTATACATAGATGTGTCCACGTTTGATTAGCTAAATCCATGGCATAACTATTCAATAGTTAAAAGCACTTGGTTTGTGCACTGCAAAGCACATTGTCTATTATTTCACCTGTGTGTAGGTGCCAAAAACATGGAAAAGAAGATGCAACTGTGAGGAAAATGTGATTCATAAAAAACAGATTATATACCAAGCATATTATATATTCTCACCCTAAATCATCCTGAAATACGGAGCTTGATGTCAGCCCAGAAAAAGATAGACTAGAACCAGCAGGCTCCAGCTGATGACCTGTGACCACACTCACGTCCCCTCCAGCAGCCACCTGTGCACAGGAGAAGCAAAAAGGAAAACACATGTGCAGGAAGCAGGGAAACCCCAGCAATTTTTCCTCAAAAAGACCACTTGGATAAAATGTGCATTTTATTGCCCACTTAATCATTCCTGTGAACACAAAATGCTACCAGAGATACGTGGGAAGGAGGGTGAGAGGGGAAAGGAAGGGGAAGTCAACAGGATTAAGACAGCATGTACATGTAAGGACTTGTCACAGTGAATACAGTCATTATGTACTGCACACATGTACTAACAAAAGTTTCTTAAGAATTAGAAAGAGTAAGAGCGATATAAAATTTTACAAGGTCCAGAGTCCTTATAACTGTCCAGATGGTAAAAATACTCAAATTTAATTTTATAATGTTCTTGGATGCCTTCAACTGCTACATGTTTGCAGTACATATTTTACTGCAGAGAGTATCACACTTTCTTTGTCCATTCATCTGCTGATGGACACAGAGGAGAACTGTGCTGCTATGAACATATATCACCCTAATACGATGCCTTTGGCTCTCAGGAAGATACCTGCAAGAACAGCTGAGTCAAATGGAATTTCTAGCTTTAGTTTTTGAGGAACTCCATAGTGATTTCCATACTGTTTGTGTTACAGTCCCACCAACAATGTAGAAGGGTTCATTTTCCCTGCAGTCTCTCCAGTATTTGTTATTATTTGATTTCTCAATGACAGCCATTCTTTCTGGGGTAAGATGGATTCTTAATATTGCTTTAATTTGCATTTCTCTAATGGCCAGAGATGTTTAATATTTTTTGTGTATTTATTGATAATCTGTAATTCTTCTGAGATGTGTGTATTCATTTCAGTTGCCCATTTGTTTGATTGGGCTTTTATTCTGGAGCAGTCTAATGTTTTGGAATTCTTTATATATTCTAGATATTAGTTTTCTGAGCAATTCCTATGCCATTATTTTTTAAAGATGTTTACAGTACAAGCCTTTTACTCACACCACTTACTCTACCAAATAATCATTTATTGCTAAGGGCTATATCAAGCATGAAACAACAAATTTATTGTGATAAATATTATGGAATATGTTTTATGCATGCTTTTTTGGAGCTCTCAGTTTAATCATCGATGGTCCAAAGATATATTAAATAAAATAATATGTATGACATTTAATCACTTTTCCTGCTTTGACATCAGAGCTCACATGTCCTCAAGCTATCCACTTGGGATCAGTATGTGGGATGACAAACCTCACCTGCATTTCAATGGCGCCAGAGGCATTTTTCAGTAAGTTCACGGCTTGAGTGTGAGTCATTCCCTCGGTGGATGTGCCACAGATAGTGACAATCCTGTCTCCAACCTGCAAGGCAGAGAAATCACCACCGCTTAGGCAAATGTGAAGTGGGACTTTGTGACCAGAACAGTTCTTTTTTTTCTCCACCATCTACTTTACATACATACTTCCACCAACTACTGAAATATAATGAAAGAAACCAGTAATTTCAAGAAGCTCCAGAAGCAATCACATAAAGAAATTATACATAATGATTTCTATAGTCTTCAGGGGAAGAGAAGGGAGAGGGAGAAAGTCATTGTTTCTTTCTCTTCATTCTGCTGGGGAAGACATTACTTCCTATTAAAATAATAAGATATGGATATAATTTGGAAACCAAAATTTCTCTGAACATCACCACTATAACTGTTAGATGTGACTCTAAGTCAGGGGTTGGCAAACGAAAGCCCTCAGGCCAAATGTGGCCAACTGCCTATTTTGGGTAATAAAGTTTGGCTGGAAGACAGCCATGCTCATTTGGCTGCTTTCATAGGGCAGAGCAGAACAGTTGCAACAGACTCAAGTGACCACAAAATCTAAACTATTCACTATCTGAAAGTTTTCTGGCCCTTATGAAATGTGTACAATGATTTTTAAAGTATGAGCAATAAATTTAAGTATCAAAACAGGCTGAGGGGGGCCAGGGATGTAGCGCACCTGCTTGGCAAATGCAAGGTCCCTAGTTCCATCCCTGGTACGGGGGTGGGGTGGGGTGGGATGAAACAAAACAAACAAACAAACAAGACATGCTGAGGGGTTAGGAGCAAAGTGGAGAGGTAGAGTGCTTGCGTATCATGCATGAGGCTCTGGGTTTTATCCCCAGGACCACGCACGCACATGCACGCGCACACACACCCACACACTTGAATCCTTCCTGAATTAGAAGCTATCTAATTTAAGTTTGGTTATGTCCAAAGACCTTGTCTGAAGCACGATGATGCCACAGATATTTTACTTTAGGGAAACTGAATGCTTCTAAAAGAGCATTCACTTGAGTAGAACAGTTAGCATAAATTTCATCATAGTGTTCTAGACTTGGAGAATCCCTCAATTTTGAAGCAAATTTTATGTAGTTTTAGAATATTGAGGGTAATTTAGCTTAGTGGTGCCGCTGACTGCCTTGTAAGCTCAAGGTTCCGAGTTCAGTCCTGGGTACCAATAAATAAATAAAAAAATAGAATAGAATAGAATAGAATAGTGTAAATGATATTTACATTAAATTTCTGCAATTTTACAATCAAATGCAAATGATTTTTTAATTCAATAAAGTTAAATCAATACATCTTTGAAACTAATGATTCTTATAAGGGAGAAGTTTCATTTCATATTAGTATTCTGAACAAGCTTGTTTTAATTTGTTTTATACAGTCTTAAACAGGTAATGAAAATGTTTTAAGAGACAACTGTAAATTTTATCACTTGATTTACTTTCACATTTGCCTTTAGTAATATCACTTTCAACTTTATTGTAGTATTCTTTATGTAAAACCAAGCCCTGCTGTAGGTTGATCAGCTAACTTTAAAACAGATACTTTCAGAACTCCCTTGCAATAGGTTGCTAGATTAAAATTCTAGAAGAATGCTTTGCTAGATTTCTTAGGGCTACTACTGTTAGCAAAACTCACCCTGAGTTTCCGAGTTTGGGCGGCTACACCATTTGGGTGCATCATTGCGATAAATACAGGGACATCACCAAGGGGGCTGCCCATGCCTCCCGCGATGCTGATTCCCAGAGAGTCAGCAGGCCCCTGCCAGGGAACAGACAGAATTCTTTGGTCAAGTGATATTTTTAATTGACAATTATTTTCCGGTGCAATATTCTACTGTTGACTCTGATCTTCTAGGTATGAGAGTGGAAAGGTAGTTCAAGAAAATGGCATTACCTTAACTGGACACAGGCCCTTACTATGGTTTAGGAAAATTGGTGTCTGCTCAAAAAGCAAGAGACCAAGGTACACTAACTGGAAACTATAATGTGGGACTGGTGAATCCATGAAGTGAAAATGTCACAATTTAAGGATGCAGGGGACTTGTTCAAAACCAGGAATGAGGACCTACAAACACTGCGACCTTGAACAAGACCAGTCTTCTCAGTCACTAGGTCTTTACTTATGAAACAGATACCAGTGCTTCCAGAGGGCTGAGCTGAATATGGGGGGCATTCTGATGATGTATATGTCTAAACAGTGTTCACCCTGCAGCAAAGGCTAAATGAATGGTAGTGGTTTTCATTTTCTTTCTTGTGTATTTCAGATAAATCTTTCCAGAAGGAGAGAGAAGCATCCACTGAAGGGAATTACTGATCAGTGTGAGAAGGGAGAGGCGACAAACTATTTTGTGAGGGGCCTGGCTGATGTATTTTGGCAATATAAAATATACAAACAGTGATTTTTAAAATGAGGAAGTATGACAGAGAAATTTAGCAGACTGCAGTTTACTTTCCACCATATACACTACAAAGATAGTGTATATGTTTTCACACAGGTACTGTAAAGCAGTGAGAGAGTTAATAGAGAACAGGAAAATACAAATGAAAATGCCTCTGAAGACACAAAGTTACCTTTTTTATTTCAACTGTTCTTAATCCCTGTATTTCAGACACTATTGTAAAGACAAAGAAAGATAAAATACAGTCATTAAAGCATTTTTTTAAGTTCACACATTTTAGCCAATATATTAAGCTGCATGGGACTAAGTAGCTATCATTATTTTTTCAGAAAGGAGATAATTACTAGTAGACATGACTAAATCTGTCTCATACAAGAAGTCTTTTTACTCCATTTGAAAAAAAATGTACATAGTATCCCATGTTTTGTTTTCATTTTAAGTACTATCTAATATAATCAGTATAATCCACTTTGAATGAGTAAAATACAGAATGAGCTTTGCACAGAAAGACATGTGTGTGTACATCTTAGAGGCATAAAGTCATGGATGCATTAAAAAATTCCATGGATTTAAGTACCTAAATTTCTAAGATATCAGTCACATTATAAACAGACCGCCATATGGTTAGTTCCTTGAATTTGAACAACTTTCCACCAATGCACCATGCCAAAAAACCCTCTGCATCATGATTTCATTAAATTAAAACACAGGAGGATCATATTAATTTTCTCTAAATTTCTGCATGGAAAAAGGCTTTACTAAATGACATCTTTCGATTTATTGATGTTACATTAAACAGAAAGGAATAAAACCAAATACCCAATCTGCAAAGTAAAAAAATGAGACAGCCCTGATGATCCCTGTCTCTCATATCTTGTACAGTAAATACCAAATGGGAAAAGCTGCCACTGGTGCAGCTTCGTCGTGTTCAGGTTTTTGCCAACACATATTTTTGCATCTACATTAAGACATCAGATGATCTGTAGAGGAGGAAGAGCTAAGTGGAAAACAGGAACAGCAGCAGCAATACAAAACAGGGTTGACTGTCAAAATTCAGACCAGTAAATCCTACTTAAAATACTGAACGAGTCTTACATGCATTCCTCTTCGAGCTACATTCCTGTGACTCAGGTGCACTTGCTCCAGAGAGTGGAAGAGTAAAAGATGACAGGCTGTCTTCACTGATCTATAAATACACAAATATTATTCTATAAAGTTTTGTAAAATGTAAATCCTGGTAAACACTATTAATTTCAGAAATCACTTCTTATAGTGAATCTAGGAAAAAGTACCATTAAGAAACAGTGGTGTTTGGCAATTTGAAGGGCAATTAAAAAATAGTTTCCACTGAATTTTTTCTTATTAAGAATGATTTACCTAGTGATATAAATAAATTAAAGCAAAGAGGGTAAAACAATTGTTTCCAACTTATCATTCAGTCTAGTCCTTTCTAAATTTAAATATCTGATGCACAAAAACTAGGACTTAAAAACTGCCAACTTAGGGCCAGTTAGCAATAAATTACCGCTGATAATTCTGGAAGTTAGTAAATGGTCTATGAAGACAGATGACTGAAAATGGGTCAACATCACCAGAGGACAAGACTGAGGAAAGGTCTCTGTAAAATTCCTGAGCTATTTTAATGCACTTCTATAGATGGCAATAAGCATTTATAGTTCACCTGTATAGGATTTTCTGGCTGAATAAGAAATGATAGACATTTCTTGTACAAGATCTTAAAAATGTGTCTTCTTGATAGGCTTCATTCATTTACATAAAGGCTAATGTTTGAAGTTGGGGGGAAGAAGTTCTTTAGAACAGCTTAAACCACTCAGCGCCTCATCTTCTGCCCTTTCTCATCCCTTATTCTTCCTGTCTCAAATGCTATACTCAAGTCACTCTGCCATGCTGCCAGAGGACGAGGCAGGACTGGAGACCCTGGCCAGGTCCACAGTGATGCCCTGATGTGCTCATCTGCGGGCAGGGCTGCCCTGATGCCAGAACTACCCACCTGGCTGCTTTGAGAAGGCCTCCTCTCTGAGTGAAACGGACCAGTTTTGATTCTTCCCACTTCCAGGGTCACCGTGCCTAGGGAACACTGAGGCAGTGGTTGCTTTATAAAACTGTTTAAGTGAAATTCTATGATCACCCCAGGAATATATTTTATTCTTCAGGACTAAGCTTTACAAAGCATTTTTCTTTTGGGATTTCTATAGGCAAGGATACCCCCCATCCTTTGTGGAAAATGACTTTTATTTAATTTTAGTAGTATGTTTGTGATATATAAACATTGTAGTCATTTTTTGGAGTTAGTATAGATACCATCATATCTTGATCACTTTTGATCCCTGCCCCCAACCAACCTCCCTTTTCATTTCTTCTTCTCTAGGTCCCATTCCCCATTCCCAAAAGGTCAAGCTCCCTGTTTCTATCAAGTTTTTGTCCCTTATTTATATTTTGGGCTTCTCATTTAAGAGAATTGACTGTATGGCTGAGTAATACTCCACTGTGTACACACACGCATCTTCTCTATCCATTCTCTATTGATGGGCATCTAGGCTGTTTCTGCAACGAATTTCCATTTCTATTTTAGTTTTTGAGGAATCCTGACACTGACTTCCACAGAGGTTGTACCAGTTTTTATCCCCACCAACAATGTAAGAGGGTCTTGTTTTCCCTACATCATCACTTTATGTTATATTTTTGAGGACTTGATAGCCATTCTTCCTAGAGAAAGATGGAATCTCAGTGTTTTTTTTGATCTGCATTTCCCTATGGCCAAAGATCTTGAATATTTTTTATGTACTTACTGGCTATTTCTACTTCTTTTGAGAAGTATCTATTTATTTCAACTGTGCATTTTCTGACCAAGTCTTTTGTTTTATGAGGTCTAATTTTCTGAGTTCTTTATATATTCTAGGTATTAACCCTATATCCGAAGAATAGCTGGTAAATTTTCCCGCTACTGTGTAGGCTGTTTCTTCATTCTGTTGATTCCTTTGCTATACCCTAGTTTTCTGACATATTTTGATTTGTTGATTCTTGGAGTTATTTCTTGTGCAATGAAGGTTCTGTTCAGAAAGTCCTTGCTTACTGCTGTCAAGAGTTTCATCTATTTTATTTGCTACCAGATTTAATGTTTCTTTTTTTTAACTAGGTCTCTGATCTATTTTGATTTGATTTAGTACAGGATGACAGATATGGGTCTAGATTCATTCTTCCACAACTGGGTAACCTGTTCTTCCAACACCATTTGTTAAACAAGGAGCTATGTCTTCTACAGCACTTGGTTTTAAGCCCTTTGTCAAAGGTCAGATGTCTTGGTCAACATGTCTGTTTTTGTGTCAGTACCATGCTGTTTTTTGTTGTGTACTGGAGATCGAACTCAGGTCCCTGCACTTGAAAGGTAGGTGACAGAACCAGTGAACTATTTCCCTGGCCCCTTACTGTTTTTATAAATCACTGCAGTTTTGTAATATGACTGAAATCTGGGATTGTGATGCCTTCTACTTTGCTCTTGCTTCTGAGATTGCTTTTGTTACTCTGGGTCTCTTCTGGTTCCATATACATTTTGCAATTGTTTTCCTAGTCCTGTGAAGAATGCTTTTCATATTCTGATTGGAATTATGTTAAATCTATATATGAATTTTAGTAATACAGCCATCTTGATTATACTGGTTCTCCCTATCCAGGAACAGGGTTATTTTTCTAATGTCCTCTTCCATCTTTCTTCAGAGTACTGCAGCTTTCATTATAGAAGTCTTCTACCTCCTTAGTTAGGCTGACTGGCAGGTACTTAAACTTCTGGAGCTCTCGTGAACAAGACTGTTATAGTGATTTCTTTATTTTTTGTGGATAGATTTTATGTCCTGCCACTTGGCTCAATTTATTTATTAGCTCTACTAGTCTTTTGGTGGAGTTTTCTGTGGGACTTCTATGTAAAGGATCATATCCTTTGCAAATATAGTTTGACTTCTTTTCATATTCATATCCCTTTTATCTCTTGCCTGAGTTTTGAGAATTATACTGAACAGGAGTGATAAGAGTGCACAACTTTGTTTGGTTCCTGATTTTAGAAGAAATTTTTCAGTTTTCAGTTTTCCCCATTTAGTATGATGTAGTTTGTGGGTTTGGCACAAATGGTTTTATTAGTTTGAGGTGAAAAGTACTTCTATACCTATTTCCATCAGGATTTTTATCATTAATTGTTTTGGATTTTGTCAAAGACTTTTTTTGCATCTATTGAATCAATATTTGCTCCTTCTCCTTAGTGCTACTGATATGGTATATTACACTTACTGATTTATGTATTTTGTGCTATCCTTGCACCACTGGAATGAAGCCAACTTGGCTATGATATGTGATCTTTTTAATGGTTTGTTGCTTTCTGTTTGCAAGTAACTCACTTTTACATTTATGTTAATTAAAATTACTAGTTTGTAGTTTTCTTTTTGTTGAGTCTTTGTCCAGTTTTAGTATCAGGGTAATGCTGTTTGCAGACAATGACTTTGGCAGTGTTTTTTCTCTTTTAACCTCACAGATGACTTTGCGAAGAATTGGCATTACTTCTTTTCTGAAGCTCTGGAAAAACTCAGTGATAAATCCATCAAATACCAGGCTTTTCATAGCAGCATTTTTACTACTACTTCAATTTCATTGTCTGTTATAGATCTATTCCGGGTCTTTACATCTTCTTAGTTCAATTTTGTTAAGCCATATGTGTCTAGAAATTTACCTATTTCTTCTAAATTCTCCAATTTATTGGAATACAAGATTTCCAAATCAGTTTCAGTTTTTTTGTTTTTTTGGTACCAGGGATTGAACTCAGGTCCTTGTGCTTGCAGGGCAGGCCACCTAACCACTGAGCTAAATCCCTGGCCCCCCAAATCAGTTTCTTGTAGTCCTCTAGAGTACAGTGATACCCACTGTGATTCTGCCCTTTTCATTTCTAATTGCACTGATACAGCTCTTTCTCTTTAAAGTTAGGCTTCATTGATCATGTTTTTCCTTTCAAAGAACCAACTCTTTGACTCATTGATTTCAATCAATTTCACTGATTCTTCTTTTGATATTTATGATTTTTCTTCTAAAAGTTTGGATTTGGATTGTTCTTATTTCTAAGACCTTCAGATGTATCATCCAGTTATTTATTTGATAATACTCTTACTTTTCTAATGAAGGCACTAAGAGCTATACACTTCTCTCTTAGAACTACTTTTATTGTGTCCTATAGATTCTGGAATGTTGTAATGTCATCATTATGATTCTAGGAAACTTAAATTTCTTCTCTAATCCAATGATTATTCAGCAATGTATTATTTAATCTTCAGGTGTTTGTGTTGTTTCTGTATTTTTCACTGCTGTTGTGGTTGTTGATTTCTAGTTTCATTCTATTGTGATCTGACAGAATCGAAGAGATTATTTCAATTCTTTTGTTTTTATTTAAACTTGCTTTATGGCCTAAGACATCATCTATTTTGGAGAAAGCTCCATGAGCTGCTAAGAAAAAAGTGGCTTTTAAAAAACATTTAAAACTCATAAATAATAAACAGTTGTACAAAGTCCACATCTTTTTCCATTTCATGTTCTTTTTGTGGGCGTTTTTTTTTTTTTTTTTTGGTACCAGAGATTGAACTCGGGTCCTTACACTTTCAAGGCAGACAGCGGAACCAGTGAGCTAAATCCCCAGCCCTTCATATTCTTCTTTTAAAATTTTATATTTAGGGCCGGGTGTGGAGGTGCACACCTGTAATCCCAGCACTTGGGAGGCTAAGGCATCAGGATCACTGTGAGTTCGAGACCAGCCTGGGCTATACAGTGAGTTCCAGGTCAGTCTCAACTACATAGTGAGACCCTGTCTCAAAAAAAAAAAAAAAAAATTATGTTTATTTTTTATAGTACATATTTGCAATGCATGCAGTTTACAATCATTTTGGGTGTGGTTATATGTACATATCACAGATTCTTTTTTTTTAATGTCCTTCCCTTTCCTCCTCCTCCACACTGAATCCTGTCCCTTTCTTCATAAGTGTTGATAATGTATATCTCAGCTCATACTATAGAGTACACTGTTTACATTATCTGGTGTTACTGAGTTCCTGTACATGGCATATCTTTATTCTTAGTTCCCCTTCCCCTTTTCCATACTCCTTGCCCTTGTTCCCTTAGATCAATTTCCTATTGTAAGAGATCCGTCCCCTTGACCCTGTCTATACAACCTATAGCATTTTCTGTTTGTACTTTGCTTCACTCAAATGAGAGATAACATACAGACGGTATTTAAGTTTGTGTGTCTGGTTTATTTCACTCAACATTATGCTTTTCAGGTGTATCCATTTTCCTACAAATGTATCAAATTTGTCATTCTTTATCGCTGAGTACTATTCATCTATTCACATATATATGTATATGTGTGCGTGTGTGTGTGTGTGTGTGTGTGTATATATATATATATATATATATGTATATATAATTTTCTCTATCCAATCTTCTGTTGATGGGTACACAGGCTGCTTCTAGGATTTGGCTATTATGAATTATGCTGCTATATATAAACACTGGTATGCAAGTAAGGCTGTAGCATGATGCCTTAAGCTCTCTGGGGAAGATTTCTAGTAGGAGGGTAGCTAGGTCATATGGGATTTCTAATTTCCTTCACTAACAAATCTCCATACTAATGGTTGTACTAGTTTACTTTTCCTCCACATGTCTACCTCATGATTTGTATGGAGACTGTTTTTACCAAGGAAAAGAGAAATTGAGAATTAAGCAATTATTTCATGAATGCACTAATTCAGAAAGATCAAATGAACTGAATAGCTCAGTGTTTAACAAAGAGAAACATTAAAATCATCACAACCATGGCAACTTGTTTTGCCTTTAATAGAAAGGTTACTCAATTTGATAAATCTTCTACTGCTACATGGTAGTTGAATAGACATATTATGTAATACTTAAAAATTACTATAAATACAAAACAAGAATTGAAGACAATTTCCCTGCAGTCCTTTACAAATAAACAACATGCAAGCAAACAATGCTGTGCAGTCTAATACTGAAAGTAGCATAAGGAAGCTTTTGAGACCCTTAGCTTTTGAGGTCAAAAACACTGGTTTAATTCAGGACTGTGATTTACTAGCTGTGTGACTACAATGGAATTCTAACTTTGGAAATGGTTGCTATTCTGCATTTAAAAAATGTAGAGTGGGCCAGGGATTTAGCTCAGCGGTTCGGTGGCCTGCCTTGCAAGCACAAGGACCCGAGTTCAATCCCCGGTACAAAAAAAAAAAAAAAAAAGTAGAGTATTATAGGTTCTAGTGTACAAGCTATGTACAATGGTTATGTCAGTGTCTAGTGTACAACGATACTAACATAAATACTAGGCATTGATATTCTGATGAACATTCTGAACATTTTGATCATGAATCAAACTCTGAAAGGTCAAAACAAAATTTATAATATCCATAATTTGGTTTTTTTTTGAGACAAGGTCTCACTATGTAGTTAAGACTGACCCGGAACTCACTGTGTAGCACAGGCTGGTCTCAAACTCACAGAGATCCTCCTTCCTCAGCCTCCCAAGTACAGGGATTGCAGGCATGTGCCACCACGCCCGGCATGAAGGTTGTTTCTTAAGCCTCAAGTTAACTCTTCTTGCACTATTTTTCAGTTTAAGTGCAGTGACTAACAAGTCTATGCATTAATTATTCATTATGCAGTTATAACTCATTTATCTATAACACAGGTCTTTCAAGCTAAAGGGTTTTGACTGTTATAAACATTTCAAGGTAGTTTTCCATTAAAAAAGCAATTCTTTATAATCAAAGAAAATTTGAAAATAAAAAATAAAGAAAAAAACTGCCTCATGATTGTCATAAAATGCATGATTTTATTTTACATAGTTGTATTGACACTGTAAACTTTTTGTCTTCTTCATTATCTTTGTATATTCATAATTGTCACTGATATTGTTTTAAACAGATTAATACCTGCCACAAACCTGAAATATATAACACAGCTGATGCAGTTTTTGTTAACCACCTTGCTTCACATCTTCTTTTACAAATAACACTTCAATGAACTTTATGTGGATGGAATTTTGTACACAGAGGATTTTTAAATGAAGAATTGCTAAGTCAAAACAATAAAAAGCAACAAAGTAAAATATGTAAGCTATGTAAATATTTAAGGCTCAAATTATATATTGCCAAGTATTATGAAAATGGCTGGTTTAACTAATTTTAAAAATTATTTATGTCTAGGATACTTCCTTCTCTTTAAAATATAGCAGTCTTATGAAGAAACAATTGTTTTTTAACTAATCTGCAAAAGGAAGCTATTCCTCCTTGAAAGTTCTTACTTTGTTTTGGTAACTGACAACTCTAAGAAATGGAAGTTTGTAATGTGTGCTTTGTTAAAAACTGAATTTATACACACATTCATATGCCAGCTGCTATTCAAACCAGAGAGACTAGTAACAAGAGCCTCAGCTGAAACACCCTCCACAAGAGCCAGCCTCTGAGAAGCTGCTGCCAGCACTGGACCTGACAGATGCAGTAGAGCTGCTGTACAGACTCCTGTCAATGTGCACCCCAGGCACAGCTCCTGATCATGGTCTTCTAGTCAATCTCAGACTGTATTTCTTCAGGTGAAAAATTCGTCAGGTAAAAGGAGACACTGATACAACAATTGCCTTACTTACTTAGAGGAATGCAAATCCTCTCTAGGAAATGCAGTATTTCCTAGAAGAGACTATGTCTGGAGTTTCAAGAACTAGATTTTTAAGTGACTATTCTGTATTTTGCAATTAGTTTTTTAAATGAGACTAGTTCTACCTCTCCGATCAGTACAAGGTTCTCAGGGAGAGTTCACACTAGAGGGAATCTATTTCACAAAGATGAAATGTAACTGAGCTTAGAATGATACCTAGAAATGGGGCCTTATAATGGCTGGAATAATTCCCAGTAAGGGTACTGTCAGATGAAAATGCAATAAATTACCTTCATTGCATCAGATGAGCTTCCCAACCATAATTTTAGATATCAACTTTAAAGCAGTTTGGTAGGTTTGAGTGAGACTAGGATTTTGACCACGTATTCCCTTCTATAGACCCTAAGACACAAAATCATTCCAGCAAATTCTTTGTAACACTATTCGTCATTTTTCAGAAAGATGTTGACTCAAGTGGGTTCAAAAGTAGTTAAGAAAGAGGCTGAGACAGGGGAGCCCAAAAACATGATCTCCAGAGATGCCGTGGGTACCCTGTTCGCTTCCAGTGATCTGCACCCAGGGAACACTGCTACCAAATGACCTTGCAGTGAGTGCTCTGCGTGAGATGCCAGACTCCCTGTAACTAGAATCTGTCAGAATAAACCCAGAAACACCATGGAGAAACAAAGATTCCACTCAAAAGTCACCATAAAGATAAATGACTTAATAATGTTTCAGACATTCAGCTAATAATTCCCTACTACCATTAAATAAATATTAACTACATACTAAACAGCTGATCATAAATTTACTATTTGGAAATCTGTTACCGAAATATGATGTTTCTCTAGAGATGGCATTATAGATAAATATGTCACTAATTTGACCATGGCAGCTCAATAGTAAATTCTCTTTCTTCTTCCACACAATTAAACAGAATTAATTTTATTTTAATGTAGTACAAGTAGATATTAATAGAGAATATAAAGAGTTTTATGAAAGAATAATTTTTCAAAACAATACTTAAGAGAATAACAATGGTAAATATATTGTGTATCACGATGGTAAGAGAATATATTTTCAATTACCATAAAATTATTTTTGGCATTTGATTTTTACCTTCAACAAAGCCGCAACAGCTTCCTGGGAGGCGTGCCGGACGTCTTCTCCATTCACCGCGAGTATCTGGTCTCCCTGCACCAGTCTTCCATCAGCATCTGCAATCCCTCCTTTCACAATATCTGACACAAAAACTCCAGCATCGTTTCTGCAAGCAAATTTAGTTTTGACAATTATTATTCCTGAACTGTAATGCAAAACTTATTTTATAACTTTTTATAATAAAAATCTTATGTCTATTTTCCAGTTTCTTATTGAGAAAAATTACTAGAATATAGTTTATAATAATTAATAGCTTATATCTTATAGTATTTCATAGATCAAAAAGATTTTTGTAAGAATTTATTTTCACAATGATATAATAGAGTACTGTGAAGCAAAGTGAGTACTACTATTCTTTTACGGGCCAGGTAGCTAGTAAAGAATGAATACATAATTTAAGAATTCATCCTTGATCCAGAGATTTAGCTCAGTGGTGCCACCACCTGCCTCTCAAGCACAAGGACCCAAATATGTTTCCTGGTACCAAAAAGAGAAAAAGGAATTTGTCCTTGTTCCTTGCCCTTTCCCCTTTCCTTTCCATTCTTTTTTTTTTTTTTTTTTT